CCGTAGCACTCGTCTCTTAAGCAGAGCCGAAGAGTCAGGGGAGGAGCAGAGCAGCCGCGGGGGGGAAGTGCCCAGCCGGCATTTTCCTGGACATGTTCAGCTTTTTGGCAATTCCCCCCAGACGGGGGTTTGATTGCCGAAAAGCCGGACATGTCCGGGAAAAACCGGATGTATGGTAACCCTATGTGATTGCCTGCTTCCCATGTGCCAGCGGATGGTGTCCAGGTCTGGCCCTGGACTCACCTGTACATGTTTTCTTGCCTGGCGTGCAGGTGAAGGTGGCCGTGGAGAGCGAGAAGGAGGCCACAGAGCAGATGAGGAAGGCCGTGGAGTCCGCTCTGCGGGAGACACAAGAGGAGAACGACGACTTGAGGAGGAAGATCCTGGGCCTGGAGATGCAGGTCAAGGAGTACAGGCACTTCTCCGAGAACTGGGAGGGCTCGGAGGCCAGGCTCCGGGAGAAGATCGGCAAGCTGGAGGTACGTGAGGGCCCCAGCACTACCCTGCACACAGACCCACCTCCTTCCCCAGCTTCCGCCCCATGGTGCTGGGTGCTGCACAGACCTAAAGAAAGTCAGTGCCTCAGGGCATGTCTACACTATAAAGTTAAGTCGGCCTATAGAGTTACAGCCACTGTACTAATCACTGCCCCGTGATTCGTGTCCACACTGCTCTTCTGTCAGTGGGACACGTCCTCACCAGGAGCGCTTCCACCAACTTTAGAGGGGTAGTGGGGGGTGGGCTGAGAGTCCCGGCAGGGAGCCGAGAGCCCAGGGGGATCCACGCCCGGTGTCCGGTCGGCTGCCCCATTCCTAGCGGGGGGCTGAGAAGCCCGGGGGGCAGCCTGAGCCAGGAGCAGAGACAGCGCAGCCGCCCTGCTGGGGAGCTGGCTTGTCAATGTCACGGCTCCAGCTCGGCCCCTGAAGTCCCTGGGAGCTTTGTGTTTCTCTGAGAGCTCCTCCCCTTCCAGGCTGATCGCAGACAGATGGAGGAATCCTTGGAGGAGGCGGTGGAGCAGGAGCAGGAGCTGCTGATGGCCAAGAGGTCTCTGGAGAGCCGGCTGGAAGAGGCCCAGCGGAGTCTCAGCCGGCTGTCTCAGGAGCACCAGGTGCTGAACTCCTCGCACCAGGAGGAGATGAAGCAGAAGGAGCAGCTGAGGAGAACCAAGAATGAGTTGGAGGAGCAGAAGAGGCTGCTGGATAAGACCACGGAGAAGCTGACCAGAGAGGTTTGTGAGACTCCTCAGCTGATGTCACCGGCTTAAAGCCTGGGGGAGGGGCCAGGTGTTGCCTATGGTGTCCCATGGCTGCTTGGATCAAGTTATCGCACTGCATGCTGGGACATGTAGTCTCTGTGGGGTGTGGCCCTCTTAGTCCTGAGAAGCTCACACTTAAACCTCCCCCCACCCCCACCAATCTTACACTGGTGGCATTTGCTACCAACAAGGGGAGAGGCCTCTGTTTGCAAAGGACTGGGATTCTGATCTGTCCAGCAATTAGGGTGACCAGATAGAAACTATAAAAAATCAGGACGGGGGAGGGGTAATAAGTGCCTATATAAGACACAGTCCTGAATAATGGGACAGTCACCCTACCAGCAACCTGCTTGAAAACAGGACTTGGCTGCATTGAAACATTAACGCTAAGACGCATCAGGATCATAAGCCGTTCCGCTCCACCCCACCATGGTGTCCTGTTGGCTGGGGGGGCTTTCAGAGACGTTGGGCTTGATCCTCTGAACATCAACTGGCTTCACCAACCGATTAGGTGGCTGCACCCTAGTTGGGCCTTACTAGTGCACAAGGTGGGGAGGTGGTTTTCTAGGGGACGCCTCTCTTCTCTCTGTTAGGCAACCGGCCTGCCCACTCCCAGCAAGCACCACCTGTCCCTGTATTTTGCTCCTACTCACAGTTCTATCTGGGAGCCCTTTAATAGAGCACACACGGAATAGTCTTTCTGCTTCCTCTTCCTCCGGCTAGAGTAGAATTTAGTCTTTTAATCTCCAGCGCTAGCAGAAGCCAATGAAACCTTTGGAGGGGGGGACAAGTTAGTCCTATCCTTAGCCATAGAACGAGATGGTTCTCGGGCGTATCGTTCTACTTCTGAGCAGCTAATACGTGACTAGGAGTTGCCATGCAGCTGTCCTACAAGCTCTGATGCTTCTGTTTTTGTTTATAAGAGGCTCTCTTAACCTCTTGTGAGCTAGTATTTCATCAGCTTGTACGAGAGTGGCCTCTACTGCGCTAGGCACAGAGGGCAGGGGAAGGATCTAAAACCCCGTAAGAGACCCCAGCAACTGCAGGGAGCTTTTGCAGATAAAGTCAAGCTTTTAATAATCCCTGGCTTTTATCTAATGCTCCTGATCAGTAAATACCAAAGGGGGACTGTACCATTGTCCCCATTTTGCAGATGCTAAGGCACAGAGCAGGGAAGTAACGGGGCCAAGGTCACCCAGCAGGCCAGAGGCAGAGCTAGGAATAGACCCCCCGGTCTCCTGAGTCCCAGTCCAGTGCACTGTTCACTAGGCCACACTACTTCCCATTTAGGTGTTTCCAGTCTAGGTTACAGATAACGCAGTGAGGAGCAATAACTGGCCATTGTGGGAAGCGAGCAGTAAAGCAGGTGACGCCTCTTAGGCAGGGGTGGCTCTAGCTTTTTTGCCGGTCCCGCGGATTTAGCGGCATGCCTGCAGGAGGTCCGCCAGTCCCGCGCCTTTGGCGTACCCGCCGTTCAATTGCCACTGAATCTGCAGGACCGGCGGACCTCCCGCAGGCATGCCACCGAAGGCTGCCTGACTGCTGCCCTCACGGCGACGGGCACACCGCCCCCCCGCGGCTTGCCGCCCCCGACACTTGCTTGGAGTGCTGGTGCTTGGAGCCGCCGCTGCTTTTAGGAGAGATGCTCGTTGTTGCAGCAAAAGCTTCTCTGCTGCTCTACCAGCGACCCTCCAGACTCTCTCCAACGCTGCAGGGTAGGAAAGTTATTACTAGCTCAGTGCCTGACACAAGGGGACGGCCAGATCATTACACAGTGTCTCATGGCTGCCAACTCCATTTGTCGCCAGGGCTTAGAGAGCTGACGCTTGGCATTCGGCTGGGATTCTGCAGAGCCGACTAGTGACAGGCGCGGCGGGATGGCCCGCTAGCTGGAGCGCGCGTGGCTCATGCTGCCGCGGCTTGGCTGTCCAAGGGGTGGCATTGGGAGCTTGCCCAGTAGGGTAACTGGAGCTGCCTTGCAAAACCAGCTGAAATATGGAGCCATCTGGAAGGTGCTGAGCCACGCAGTTTGGGAGGATATTCGCATAGATGAGCTTTTCTTCCCTGCTAGTCTCCATAAAACCCATTACATCTTCCTGGCTCACTAGAGACCCCAGGGGATGCAGCATCCTGGCATCTCCCGGGTGCTAGAAGATTTGGGAGTTGTAGGGTGAACTCTGGTATCCATTCTGCAGCCCTCTGGCCCCGCCAGGCTTGCTAATGAAATTCACTGGAGGATGAGCTCTGGTGCTTGGATTACCCCAGTGATAGGTGTTGTATAAATCTAAGCTGTGCTGCTGGGTGACCTGCAAGGACTTTGTAATGCTGGCCCCAGCCAGGTTAGCCAGCTGCATTTAATAGGCATTTCGGTGCTAAATCTGTTTTGAGTTCAGCTTTGCACATCTCCTTCGGACGTCAGTGCCTTTCCTAGTGGCCTCAGCTCTGTCGTTCAAACCAAATGTCTGGGGGGAAAAGGGGAAGTCCAGCCCACTGGCCAGTATTGTAGGGACACCCTCGTCTTTCCTTCCCTTTCTCTTCATGGTGGGTCTAAACCTACTAGAGCTCCCTTCCCTCCACTCCTATTGAAGTTAACTGGGATTCCCCCATGTGACTCCAATGGCATCATTGATCCCCACGTGGCCTGGGGGAAGTGGTTGGTCGTGGACACTCATTGTGGGTTCCTAAGTACTCCTCCTCTTGTGCTCTAGCTGGACCAGATGGCCCAGGAGTCCCACCGCTCACTGGCCATGCTGCAGTCGCAGCTGGAGGAGTACAAGGAGAAGTCACGGAAGGAGATTGCAGATTCCCAGAAGCAGGCCAAGGACCGCAGTGCAGAGGTGGAGAAGATGCAGTTCACCATGGGCCGGCTGCAGGACGAGGTAGGCCACCGGCTCTCAGGTGGTTAGTCTTGCTCACAACCTGCCAGGGGCTGTCTTCGGAGAGGGCGTCTACAATGCGTTTGCCAGGAATCACTAGCGCAGGGAAGATGCGAACGTCCCTCGTCCACTTTCAAATTACCCAGTATAACAAGTTGTGCATTTTCCCTGCCTCAGGCAAACTTCCTGCTCCGCTCAGGCCTTGATCTGAAGGCAAGCGTAGCCCTGTTAGAACACAGGAGAATACAGAAGCGGCAGCCAGTGTAACTCTAGACAGTACTAGAGTTCCCTTGCCCCCAATTCCAGTGGAAGAGGCTGCGCTACCTGAGACAGGCCGCTTTGTGTCCTTGAAGTCAGCTATGCTCGAGGGCACTGTGGGGGCTGTATCACCAGCAATCCCAGATCAGATCTGCTCAGTAGACAAGTAAAGGGATGAGCGTCTGTAACACCAAGCGCCAGCAGGGACCAGAGTCGGGCTGGGTGCCGTCTGGCTCCCACTTGGGCAGCAATAAAGATCCTGCAGTCAGAACTTAGTGATTCTGTTTGTGAGCCAGGAAAGAGTCTCCCTCCCTCCTGCATCGCTGGGGGGACTTGGGGACAGACTCTGGTTCCCTCCCCTGGAGCTGGGCTGGCCCTCCCTGGCTAAGAGGAGTGACAGGTAGTGGAATCTCCCTTGAGTTCAGTCAGCTGCTCTGCTCCGACTGGGAGCACAGACTGGACAGATCGAAGCTGGAGTAATTCCCGCCGTCCGAGTGAAATGGCAGCATCTCGGCCTGCCTGAGACCAGAAACCTCTAAAATGCTTCCTGGGAAACCTATGAGCCCGGTGCTGAGCCCAGCATGTGTGGGTGGGGTGGGGTTGTGCCCCCGCAGGGCTGGAGAGCTCTGCCTGGCTATTCCGAATCCAGCTGCTGTTCAGAGGCCCCTCGCTACCTGAAGTACATAGCGTGGTGGTGTCGGGCCCCTCCTAAACCTGTTAATCACCCTGATGACCGAAGTGGGTGTTCTCCGGTATGCAGAGAGCAGATCACTGGTATTATGCGTGGGTGCCCAGATGTGTCCTTAGACCAGAGCCTGCTGGGTGCGGGGGAAGAGTCTCCTCTCGCCGCCCAGTGCAGAAACGGGGGCTGTTGCTCTTTTCTCTCCCTCTCCTCCAGCCGAAGCAGGTTGGCCACGGCTGTCTGCAGGGCTCGCTAGCGCTGCAAGCATCAACCACACGGTATCACCAGAGGCCCCTAGGTGGGTCGTTCCAGGGTTGGCACCACACTGCTCCTGTCTGGCCCAGCCTTTGCTTCTCCCCCCACCATGATCCTCTGCTTTGTCCAGCTGCTACACCTGTGAGCCAGCCTTATATTGTGGTCACTAGGGGAGATCTTCAGATGCCTGGCGCGTGCAGCTTTCTGGGGGAGCGCGGTAGCTCTCTGATGCCGTCTCTTCCCGCAGATCACGCGGCTGAAGCAAGCACTGCAGGACAGCCAGGCCGAGCGGGAAAGCACCATGCTGGATAAGGAGGTGCTGGCCCAGCGCCTGCAGAACCTGGAGCAGGAGGTGGAGTCCAAGAAACGCACCCAGGACGATCGCTCTCGGCAGGTCAAAGCGCTGGAGGTTCGTTTGCTCTCCCTGACCCTAGTGCCGCTTTGAACTCCTCTGGCACAGGGAGCTCACTGGTCTTTGACCAAGTCCCCATCTCCACTGGCCTCCTTGCTGCGATTCTGTCTGTGCCGTCTTCCTCCAGAATGTCTCACCGGCACTAAATCCCCACACACAGAACGTAGCGTTGTTCTCTGTTCCGCCGCGGAACGGGCGGGACAGCGAAACTTCAACTAGCTCCTTTAGCATGGCACAGAACGGTGCGACGCACCCTGCCTGGGACCCCCAACAACACTCTGGTGACTAGACTGCCCGGTACCATGCTGCCTCTCATGCTGGCAGCCCCAGTAATGCCGTAGCTGGGGGACACAGGCCCATAGTCTCATCCATGAGTATGCAGTGGGTGGGGGCCGTATCTCCAGGTCTCGTTCCCCAGAGTCCAAGCCTCTGGATTGGCCTGTTTTAGTGCTGTCGCTATGTAGGTGCTGGTCAAACGCTGCTTCTCCCCCAGAGCACCTGTAAGCACACGGTCTGCTCTCCCCTCCAGCACGTGCAACAGCAGGTCGGTTAATGCTGATTGCTGAGGTTCTGGGCCAGTAGGAGCCTTTCCTTAGGCCAAACTCCCACGGACTGCATGTCGGGGGCTTTTTGTGACGTAACCCTGCCCCCCTCCCCATAGTGGTCATGAACCCATCAGAGTTAGTAGAGCCCAAATGTTCACCTGTTTAAGAAGGACTCTTTCAGCTCCACATGCTAGGCTGTGGGGCTACGAATAGGTACTCAGGAACAATGATCAAACTTTCTTGCAACAGCCGTGGATTTTGTGCTGTTAAAGGCAACTGCTAACGAGCAAGTAGATCTGCTGTAACTGGGATTTTTAAAACCAAGCGCTTGTAGATGTTAGACTAAAAGCAACCAAGTAAGTTTAAGAGCTGGTTCCTTAAGAGGAACCAGCTGTTGCATCTGTGTAATGGTGAGACAAATCACCAGGGAGCGAGACTCTGGGAGCTGCCTGGCTAGAAATGACAAGGAGGACTCTGTTTTGAGGGAGAGCTGAGAGTTTACCCCAGTGTTTCGCCCACGGCTAAGAGCAAGTAAGAAAGCATGCACTCAATCCAGGAGAGCATCTGCTGCTCTCTGTGGCACAAAACCTGCTAGCTACAAAGCCTGCTTTTAACAGCAGAGGGCAGAGTTGTCTTCAGAGTCTCTCATTCACTTGGAAACAGGACCTTTTGTTTAACGCTTTCTTTAATTGCCAAGTAACTGATTTAGTTTCGGCTCTTTCAAGCCTTGCAGCATAATTGTTCATGGCAGAGACTTGCTCTGTTTCCGGGGTTCTTTATGTATGGATTTATAAAGCAGCTATTTTGGTCTGAATGCCAACAGCAGGCTTGAGATTCTTTGTGCAGGTCTGTAGTGATCTGCAACCAACCTTACGGTAAAACTTCAATCCCTTTGGATCAAATCCAAGTCCTTGTTGACCAGCACGTTTAGATGGCGCTCCCAGGCAGATCCAACCCAAACCAAGCCCTTCGAAATGTCAAATGGCTTTTGCAGTATGGAACAGAGACAGCAGAACCCAAGCAGTCGCGGACACGGTGTCTGGAGATCAGGCCTTTCCAAGCCACGTTTGAGTTCTGGAAAGTCTTCCGATGCACTCGAACCGTTTGCATTGTCTGTGCAAACGATATGGTTTGAAACCAGCTTAGCGGCAGTGAAACTTAACGAGGGATCAAACTCTTCTTTCCGAGCATGGTTCAAATCCTGTGGCAGACGGGTCCTAAGCCTGCTTAACTGGCTCTCTGCTGCAGTCTGCATTGAAATCCCCAGTGCCCTGCAGTGCAGCGAGCCTGTTAAAGAAGGGATTTCACGAGGGGTCTCTCTCTCCTCTGTTGGCTGACAAATGCCCCCCTTCAGAGAGTGTAAATTGCAAGTGCTGGGGGCCAAGTTATCTCCTGTCTGGCCTCCGAGAATAAATAGCTTTCCAAATCTGACGCCCTTCTGTCCCGTCCCCCCCCTCCCCCGACCTGGCCCGTAGGAGTCCTTAGAAAGTTGTGGGTCTGTGAGGAAGGAATTAATGGGTTGGGGTCAGTGCCTCGTCAACATTAAAATGGCCACTGATCTTTGGTTGCCTGGCTTGAGGCACCCTTGCTCAGCACCTCTGAAAAAAGTGAGGGCCACCTGCCGCTGACTCCAGTTCTGGGTGCTCAGCCTTCTGGAAATTCAGCCAACGGTGCCTCCTGTTGGGCGCCTGAAATCAGCGGCCCTTCCCAGAAAGGGTGCTAGGCATCTCCTTCCTGCAGGCTGTTCTGTAGGGGCAGCCCCTGGGGCTCTCGGCACCCCGCAGCGGGCAGTGAGGCTCCGCACAGGCCCAGAGACCAACTTGTGTGGATCACGTTTCAGGAGTAGGGACTTGGGGGTCCTGCCGAGCTCTCCCACTGAGTCCCCGTCACACGCATATCCTTACTCCAGCACTCGCGGGGTTAACCGCCTAGCTTCACTGATGTCTTTAGTGAGCCCATAACTCCTGGGAGTGCCACAATGCTGTGTGAACAGCCCTCTGTGTGATCCAAGGTTGGGGGGGGGGCGTTAGTGTCCCATAAAACACCCCCCACCCCCGGTCCTCCCCAGAATCCAAAGCTAGAATAACCCAGGCTCTGCTCACAGGAGAAATCCAAGCGCCTCGAGGTGGAACTGGACGAGGAGAGGAACACGGTGGAGCTGTTGACTGACCGGATTAACCGCGGCAGAGACCAGGTAGGGGAGTGTGCTGCAAAGGGAAGGATTCGAAAACCGCACCATAGCCCAGCTTCAGCCAATGAGTTAATGGAGACCTGGTGTGGTGCGGGAAGGAGTGGGCCAGCACAGAGTCCCTGCAATGAGGGAGAGACTGAGGACCCCTGGTATGGGGGCTGGAGGGGGAGCTGGAAGGATGCAGGGAGCCCCTGGGGCATGCAATAAGCTAGGCTGACAGAAGCCCGCTAGTCTAAGCACCCTGCGTTGTAAGCTCTCTGAAGCAGGGGGCCATCTCTTCGTTCTGTGTCCGTACAGCTCCTAGCACAATGGGGTCCTGAGCCATGCCTGGGGCTCCTCGTTGCTGCTGCGATATGAACAAGGACCAAATAACCCCTCCCTTTGCAGATGGGGAAACTGAGGCACAGAGGTGGGGACTTTACCAGGAGCCCTGGTGCTCCAGCAACTAGACAGCGCCCTATGACTCTGCTCCTCATTTATAATCGTTCAGCATTTCTTTCCAAGCTAGTGTCTGACACAGCACGGAGCCTGCCGGGCGCAGAACGCAGCCCTTAGCCCTTAGGAAGATGCTAACGTAACTGCTTCCTGGAAGCTCTCTGCTGTTGACAGACTTGCCAGTGGAGCAGGGGCTTAGCTGTCTGGCTCTTGGTTCTCTCCTCCCATCTGTTCCCCTGCATCATGTCGGCGTGTGACTGAGGTGGATGCTGAGTTCCTTCAACAAAGGACCCTCAAGCAGAACTTCCCTCACGCAACGGACCCATACAAGTGCGCTATCCATGCCCAATAGGTGCCATTGTTTTAGCGGTGCAGTCCCGTTCAGACACCGTGATCTAGTGGCTTGGTCACCCAGGCATCAGGAGTCCTGGATCCTTTTCCTAGCTGGGTGACTGAATCCACTGTGCAATCTTGAATGAATCCCTTCCTTCCCCTCAGCTTCTCCGTCTGCAAAACTGCTGGGGGTGGAGGGAGAATCTCTATATGTTCAGGTCTAAACTAAGTTTCATCCTCTCAAGCAACCTCTGTCTAGGAGCTACTGCCTCTTGGTTGTTCCTAGAAATATTTGCTCGGCACAAGCTTTTTCTGCTTCCCCTGCCCCCTCCTTGCCAAATGCAGCAACAACTTAAGGCAAATATTCCCCATTCTTGCAGGGCTTCCCTGCTTCACAAACGTGCTACTAAAACTGACCGTTGGATGTTGACGGCGCTCCTACAGACCCGGTCTCTATTGCTTTCCATCTGGCAATCTTAGCATCTCTTAATAGTGCTCTGAAAACATGTTCGTAGCTTGAATCCCTGTGGTAACAAAATCCTCTATGGTGTGCATAAAACGTAAGAGACGATGGAGCCTCTTAAAAATAAAAAGCTCATTAGAAACTCCACCTGCCATCAGATGCTGCTCTTCTGCCTTTTGCAAACTGCTCTGCCACTGGCATGAGTCCCCTTCCCATTATCCTGCTTGAATGATGGGTTCCTGCTGTATCTCGTTTCTCTGGGGACCTTCTGACCGCTCCCATCTCTACCTATGTTGCTGTTTTCTGAATCCAAATGGCAGAACCCTATTGACGCTGCACGTGCGTTTTGAATTGCATGGTGATTATTTTAATAGCAGAGAAAGAACAGGTTACATACAGGTGGCATGGCTTTCTTGGCGCTTAAATTCTCCAAGCAGAATTGTCTATGGCTTATTCACTCTTATTAGAGCCAGCCCTGGAAGTGCTGTGAAGGGTACATATTTTTGAATTGCAGTCTATATTTTGTCTGCTCCCAAGTTGCTGACGCCTGCAATCTGAAAGCCAGCTGTCAGCCCCAAGCCAGCTATTCTGTCGTGCTAAGCCATTAATGGTCTATGGAGAAGATGCAAAAAGTTTGGGGACTGCCTGCTGTAGAGAGAGAGAGAGACAGTGCTTCTTAAGCCAAGTACAGCCCTGGGGTACTCTCCAAGTAGCCACAGTTATTCAGACTCTACATAGCTGTTACTGAATGGTCCTCGATTCTCCATCACATGCACTTTAAGTCAAGACTGGACGTCCCTTTCTCAACGATCTGCTCTAGCTTGGTGCAGAAATGATTGGGTGACGTTCTCTGGCCGGCGTTCATGTACGATGACAGACTAGATCGTAATGGTCCCTACTGGCCTTACCGTTTACTAATCTGGGTGCTTCTTGCCGTCAAAGTCTGAGCACCGCATTTTCAGACTGGGAAAGTGAGGCACAGAAACGGGGGGACAATACCTGGATTGTAAGATCTTCGGGGCAGGGACTCTTTTCTTCTGTGTTTGTACAGCGCCTAGTGCCATGGGGGGCGTGACTACATCCATCAGTAGGTGCAGGGGAGATGATGTATAAGCCAAAAATGCCAGAAATGCACTGCTAATGCCCTGCAGGTCACTGATGTCTTAAGAAAATGTCTACATGCGCAACAGCAGTAAGAGCCTAAGTTCTCCTGCCGGGTCTTTCAGGTGTGTCTACATTAGAGTTGCCAACCCTCCAGGATTGGCCGGGAGTCTCCCGGAATCTCCCGGTGACTATTAAAGGCAATCGGGGAGATTTTGATAGCTCAAAGTCTGGTTGGCAGTGCAGCAAGGCGAAGGCAGGATCCCTTCCTGCCCTGGCGCTGTGCAGCTCCCAGAAACGACCAGCATGTCCCTTTGGCTTCTAGGCTCAGGGGCGGCCATGGGGGCTCCGCGTGCTGCCCCCGCCCTGAGCGCCAACTCTACAGCTCCCATTGGCGCTGCGGAGCGGTGCCTGCAGGCAGGGGCAGTGTGTGGAGCCGCCTGGCCACCCCTCAGCCTAGAAACCAAATGTGCCAGTCACTTCCAAGAGCTGCCCAAAGTAAACGCCGCCCTGCCGGAGCCTGCACCCTGAACCCTGAGCTGCACCCAAACTCCCTCCCAGAGCCCGCACCCCCTTCTGCACCCCAACCTCCTGCCCCAGGCTCATCCCGAAGCCCCCTCCCACACTCCGAACCTCTTGGCCCCAGCCCGGTGAAAGGGAGGGAGGGGGAATAGAGTGGGGCGGGGTCTCGGGGCAGGGGTGTTTGGATTTGTGCGATTAGATAGTTGGCAACCTTAGTCGACACTGCAGCTGGGACAGACTCGTGCTAACGGGGCACGGCCGCTGCACTCAGAATAGCAGTGCGGCATTGGCAGAGGCTTGGCCCAGCCCTCCGAGCTTGGACCCAGGGGCTAGAGTGTCCACAGCGTTCACACAGCCGTTTGTAGAGCGCCAACGGGAGTCAGAACCTCCCAGCTGCAGTGTCGAACGTCCCCGCCATGGTCTCTGCTCGTGTCAGCTAAAACGCCCGTCGGTTCTGCACCCAGCCCTGCCTGGCAAAGGGAAGGGCGTTGTCGGCAGGGGGCTGGCAGCATGTCTAGCGCCTAACCTTGGCGAACGTTAAGAAAATAAAAAACAATCTATCTGGGCTGCTGAGTAAACAATGATCTAATCTCGCTGGGGATGAAACGTGCTGCTGCCTCTGCACTGTGTCTCATACGCAATTAACCGGCATCAGGGACTCTGCCAAGCCATGATCTCAGGGCTGCACCCTGCTGTACATGCATCCCTGGGTATTCATGGTGTCTCTAACTCACTGAACCCAGCCGCAGCAGCAGAGGAGCGGCATGCACTGCTGCGTGCTCACACCAGCCACGGGCAGTGGACGGCAGCTGAGAACGGCTTCCCCTTTTAGTGCTGCCTTGTTCCGTGCCTGCCACCGGTCACCAGTGCGGGCCTGCAGCCCACCAAAGATTTATCCCCCTGTTGACAGCCCTGGAGTACTCGGTGTCACAAGAGGCAGCAGTATGAACTGGAATTGCCTTATGTTGCCTCTGAGTTCTCCGCACGTTTCAGTTGAAGACCTAGCACGTAGCAGTGGCTTAAGCAGGGTGGGCCTATGGATGGGGGATTGGCGTCTTCCATGTCATGGCCTAGTGGCTGATTTAGAGCCACCAGGAGAGGTTGGATAGCCCAGCCTTCTAGTATCGGTTTGTAAAATAGGGATATTCCTGTCCTGCCTACTCAGACAGAACTCTACGGGGGGGGAGACTTTGTACAGCGCCTGGCACAAAGGGGCCCTGATCCTGGCAGAGGCCCCCTGGCTGTTCTACAGAGAACTGGAATCTTAGTACAATGGCTTTCAGCTCCCACTGAACCCACATTAATGTAATGGAAGCACAGTACCCGTTACTTGTGTCATGTTTTATGGGCCAGCCACTCCAGACTGCCACTGGCGTGACTCCATTGATCGCGAGGGGCTTGAGTTGAACTGAGGATTAGGCCCTGGCGACTTTGATTTCCCGAAAAATGCCAATTGTGCCTAGCATTCTGTTCTCTCAAAATGCAGTGCTGCCTCTAATCCTTACAGCCCTCCGCAGGAAAGGTAGGTGACAGATGGGGAAACTGAGGCATACCGTGGGGAAGGGACTCGGGACGTGTGTAATAGCCAAGATTAGAACTTGAGAGTTCCTGACCCTCCCACCCCCCCAAAGTCCTCTGACTGGCTGTATCCATGAATGGCCTTAGGAATCTTAGCCATCTGCCCGGGAGAGAACTGCCACTGGCTGAGAGAAGACACCCCAGTCTGACCAGAAATAACCCCTAAACTACACCAACCTTCCTTCCTCCAGATTGACCAGCTGCGTGCGGAGCTGCTGCAGGAGCGCTCCAGCAAGCAGGACCTGGAGTGCGACAAGATCTCCCTGGAGAGGCAGGTAAGGCTGTGACCGGATGCGGGATTTGGACACCTCTTTCGGTGCTGCTCGGGGGTGTGCTGCTGCACGGCTCTGCCCCGCTGGAGCTAGCCCTGCTGTGGCTTGGGTAGCTGATGGCTGCTCTTGTGGCTTCATGCAAATGCAGAGACGGCCAGAGGTTGCAAGTCTGCCCCTCCCCCATGTGACAAGGCTAGAAAATGCATTTAAGCCAGCACGCTCTTGTGACTCAGTTGATCATCTTGCTTGGATCCTGGAAAAGCCTCCTGACCTAGAGATCTGTCTGGCTGTGGAAGGGTCCCCAAAGGAGGGGGGTGGAAGCCTCCTTTGCTTGGGAGTTTTAAACTAGACTGGAGAGAACACTCAGACTGTGTCCCGCAGGGAGCGACCCTGCCCCAGCTGGGGAGTGGGGTCACCTGGAGCAATAGGTCTGCCCCGTTGCTACTGCCGACAATGTGATGGTCTTAGCTCGCCACCAGCCTCCTTAGTCTATGCAAGACGGACTCTACTGGTCCTGCTTGTTTGTATTTATCAACAAATATCCCCTCACTATTGCAAAGTCTCCCATGCCACCCCCACCCCCATCACACTTCATAAAGCTGTCACCTCGTTAGTACCCTCAAAACCTGCCTCTGCAGTAACCCCTCCCAAAGGGCTCCTGTCTGGCGCTCGTATTGTTGTTTCATCCTCCCGTTGCGTCCATTTCATCCACCTAGGAAGCAGCGACTCTGAAAAAGATTTGGGAGTCGTGGTGGATAACCAGCTGAGTGTGAGCTCTCGCTGTGATGCTGTCGCCAAAGGGCTAATGCAATCCTGGGATGCATAAACAGGGGAATCTCAGGGAGGAGTAGGGAGGTTATTTTACCTCTGTACTGGGCACTAGTGCGACTCCTGCTGGAATCCCGTGTCCAGTTCTGGCGCCCGCAGTTCCAGGAGGATGCTGATAAATTGGGGAGGGGTCAGAGAAGAGTCACGCGAACAAAATTAAAGGATTAGAAAACCTGCCTGAGAGTGATAGATTCAAAGAGCACAAACTAGGTAACTTAACGAAGAGGTTAAGGGGTGGCTAGATTAGTCTGAACCCCCACATGGGGAACAAATATTTAATAACGGGCTCTTCAGTTTAGCAGAGGAAGGTCGAACACGATCTAATGGCTGGAAGTAGAAGCTAGACCATTTCAGTCTGGAAACAAGGTGTAAATTTTTAACAGGTGGGTAATTAACCATTGGAACAATTTACCAAGGCTCATGGTGGCTTCTCCATCGCTGACCACTTTTTAAATCAAGACTGGATGTTTTTCTAAAAGCTCTGCTCTGGGAATTATTTGGGGGCCGTTCTCTGGCCTGGGTCATACGGGAGGTCAGACTAAGTGATCACATTGGTCCCTTCTGGCCTTGCAATCTATGACCTGTTGTGTCCTGCTCGAGATCTCGGTCTGAAGCTCTCCGGGGAAGGGAAGGTCTATCTGTCTTCCTTGTCTGCCCAACGTCTAACACAAAAAGGAACCCCGGTCAAGGATCAGGGGCCATGTTACCATAATAGATATGCGCTGTGTTCCCAGCCCGCCTATGCAAAGAAGAGTGTATCCCTGTCATCCCTTTCCCCCCCGCTCTCATCTGCATCCCAAAGTATAACTGTGTGCGCTCTGTGACAGATGCGACACAGCCCCTGCTCCAGGGGACCCCGTTTGGTGTCTCTGGGGGCTACTGGAATATGAACAATAAAATGCTGCGAATGGCTGAAGTCTTTAACCTCCTCTCCCAGCAGGGACAGAGTCAGAGATCCACGGGATTTCTTCTGGCAGCATCGCTGCGCCTCCTGCCAGTGGCTCTGCCATCCCTCCAGCGGCATTGCAAAGGCAGCTAGGATAATAAGGGGTGTCTCTTCTCCTAATCCTCACTCTTAATTTTCAGTTTATTGCCCACGCCCAGCTTGGGGGGGGCCCCAGGCGTGTTGCACCTTGTGTAGGGAGCTCTTAATGGACATGATTTTCTAATCCCCGGGAACTCCCATAAACCTCTCCCTGCCTGCAGGGGAGTGAGGCTAGCAGCGTGCCCTGGGAGGCTGAGAACCTGGGGCTTGGCCTGATTCTTAAAGGGGAAGAGGAATTTATAGGCGAAATGCAGGGGCTGTCGGCAAAAGGAGGGTGGGGAGTCCTAGATAGCAAAGCAGAGGGGCAGAGCTCTGAGACAGCCGAAGAACTAAACTCTCTGCCTGCTCAGCCTAGGAGACTCGCTCCCAGCTGCAGCGTAATGCAGTGCCCTGGCCCTGAACAGCCTTCAGTGAAAGTGAACTCTGCAGCAATCCATGGAGGTGTTGTACCAGCATGTGCCACATGGGACCGCTGGAGAGCAGCTGTGTAACTCTCAGCCCTGCCCTTACCTCTGAAAATACCCGTCCGCTGTGCTCCGTCCAGCGCTTTGACCCGAGGCCCCTGCCTGCCCCACGGCTGTGAGCCAGGGCATCTCATTCGTGCAGCCTGGAACCAGAGCACCCTGCAACAGGGCTCAAGTGTTAAGCAGTCGGAGTTTGTTCTTAACCTGGCTGCAAGGGTGCAGCGAGCTCTTGTTGCAGGTTGTCGTGCAGTCAGTATTCCCAGGTCTCCTGGCTCCTTTGTAGATATGGAGATGGGGCCTTTTATGGGCAGGCTGATGCCCTTTGCCTTTCCAGGAGAAGGGGGGCCCTGAGCTATTGGGGTCCAAGAGGCAGCTCTCTCCTGCCATCCCAGAATGCTGACCTCCCTGCCAGGAGCTGTTCCTGAAGGCGGGGAGAGAGGCTTTGTCACCTGCCATCCACAAGAAACTCTTAGGGTTTGAGTTCAGAGACTGGGACCCGGCTCGGCACAGCCCTAGAGTGGAGGCTCAGGTGCCGGTGACTTTGTGTCTCTTCCGGATACCGAGGCTACCGGAGCTAAAGCTGCACCCAAGGCAGCTCTAACCTGCACCTTGGCTGCAAGGGGGCCCCAAGTAGCAACATGGACTAGCCGGAGGGCAGAGTTCTCTGCCCTTGCCCCTTCCTTCCTTAGACACACTCCTGCACGGGGGGGGGAGTGACACAGAGCATCTCCACCGTCTTATGCCGGGGCAATCGGCAGAAACACAGACCTGAGGCCTGTCGTCGGACGTCACAGGTGCGGCGCTCTGCTCTGTTCAATGTTGATACCAGTCGGCTGCGTGCGTGTGTTCCCTCTGTGTGCAGCCCCGGCTCTGTGCAGGTCGCTGGCACAGCAGACCCTGAGAGAAACCCCAATGACCACAGACTCCGATAAGGTACGAAGGCAGCCGGCCAGGTTTATTGTCAAGCAGACTCTCTACAGGACTTACTACAAATATGTGCCCCCTGACAATGGACCAGCTCAGTCCGTGGTGGGACTTACCACTGCCCCCTAGGCTGGACAGAAACACCGCCCCAGGGCTGCATTCTTATACATAGGTACAAACAAGTTACACATCACTCCCGACTTATTGAGGTGCAGCCCCTCTACGTAGCAAGGTGCCGCCTATTACCTTATACATGTTGATTCAAGCAAAATAACTCTCTCCATCATATTGCCCTTTTGCCCCTGTCTTTAGGATGGGTCAACCTGTTCCTTGTTATCAGTGTGGAATGTGCAGGTATCGGAGTGTTCTGGTACCATCCTAGCACATGTTTATATCTCTAGCGTCCAGTACCTTTTTAGGTATGTGTATTTTTGCAACATCAGCCCTTTCCTTTCCAGCTTCTGTGGGCAGTGCCTGCCTCTGGCTCACAGCTTAACTTTGCTTTATGTTAGCAAAGTCTTGACCATTACTTTAGTTCAGGCCTTAGGCCTCAAACCGGGCCTCTGATATAAGGGTTTATGTTTCAGGGCTTCATCTTACTACAAGGCCCACATCTTCAGGGTCTATCTGCAGATCTGAACTGACTCATATTTCAAATCCACTTGGAGCCAGAACTCATTGACTCACACTTTAGATGAACCGGCCGATTTAAGACCGGTCTGTAATGACTTGAAATGGCTCCCGATGCCTCCTAGACCGCTTTCCCTGCCGTGGTTCTGTGGTGCTCCTTAATTTGTAGATGGACTCTTAATTCCCAAGTTTAAAAAAAAGATGGTGTTAAACTACAGCCCGGGCTGCTGTGAACATGCAGCAGCTGCTTGCCCAGACTTGCGTTACCGAATTCTGTTACACAAGTGTGTGCTGGCTTAAAAAAGCAAATCCTTCAAGCTGTTCTTGTTCTCTGCACGTAATTAACCAGAACAAAACAACACTAGGCTTGAGCTGCTGACTTAAGGTGGTGCAAAAAGTCCCCTGCAGTGCACCAATTTCATTCTTCAACGGTTTTCAGCCTTATTTCTCCCTCCTGGAGGTGGCCAGTTACCGAGGCGCGTTTAATATTGGCATCTGCTGTCGCTTCCTGTGGAACAGGCTAGAGGAGCTGTGATGGCTCTTAGGGAAGGAGGTGAAGCTGGCAAATGTAGCTCTTCAGGCTGAGGAAGCTATTAAATACACTGGTCATTAATATCGGAGTTCTGCACTGGATTGTGTCCCCGCCAGGAGATCTTTGGCTTGCTGCTAAACCGGTATCCGTACAGGACTGTGGGCCTGTAAGCTCCATTCCGTGGGGGAGGTATGCGGTTTTTCCTGCTGAGCGTGATGGAGCATTGGGCAGCATGGCCTAAATGAAGATGTCAGCTATTCCCTGGCCCATGACCCCTGACAGCAGCGGCTGTGCAGAGCGGGAGAACTGTCTTCACCTGTCTCGTGGCACTCGGATTCCACACACCGTTTTAAACTACGCTCTGTTGGCAACATTTTTAATGCAGGAAAAATAATTGCCATTATATAACCCAACTCATTAAGCTTCCTATTTGTGAAAGGGATTTCGCCGCGCTTGACTCACTGCCAGGGTTTACATAACGCTCCGTTCCTGCTCGGTTTGTTTATAAGGCCGACTTTCTCACTCCGCTGCTGGCTGTTGGTTTCTTGGGTGACTAATCAGGTGTAATTTCTCCCACCAGAACAAAGACTTGAAAAGCCGACTGGCCAGCTCGGAAGGCTTGCAGAAACCGAGCGCCAGTTTGTCTCAGCTGGAGTCGCGGATCCAGGAACTGCAGGATAAGCTTCAGGCAGAAGAGAGGTAAAAGATGTGGACCTGGCCCCGTTCTGGCAGAAGATCACAAGGCACGCAATGCTAAGCCCTTGTCTAAACACAGGCTGTACCACTCTCTAACAGTATAGAGAGCTACAGCCTTTCCCTTCCCACCCCCCCAGAGCGGATGCAGTTCTACCAGTATAGCTGTTTCTCTGTGGAAAGGAGACTAAGCTATACTGGTATCTGGTATAATACTGGTATTATATACTGGTAAGCTATAACTGTCTCCACTCTAGGGGTTGCACCGGTATAACCATATCAGTAAAAATTCACACCTGAACTGACAACCAGCCCTGGTTTACACTGGAAAGTTTTACCACTGTAAGTGCACAGAGATGGAGGGAATCGCCACCCCCAGTTTATAGATAGGGAAACTGAGGCACACAACAGGCATGTGACTTCTCCCATGTCCGTGGCGCAGCTGATAATGGAGTGTAGGAATGCTTACCCCCACCCCATGCGCTAACCAGAAAGCTGAAGGGTCTCCGCACAGGACTGCGGTTTCAGGGGAGTGCATGGGTTCTAGCCCCATCTGTGCCCTGATCTTGCTTTGCAGCCTCAGGAAGGGGTTTAGTTCGGTAGTACCGGTGCTGGTCCATGGGCCTTCACGTCTAGAATCCTCTCCCTCCTACGTCCCATTTCTCTCCCCCCACGCCCCTTTTCAAAACGGACCTCGGCCTGATCTGCCTCCCAGGCATGCTCCGAGGCTTAATTTCATGATAACAGCTTTCGGGAGAGGTCAGATGTTGGGTAAGTGTCAACAACATTCCCGTGCGAGGTGGCGTGAGAATGTGCGGTTAACCCTTGAACTGGCATGTGCGAGTTCTGCAGTGGTCTGGTACCAAGCGTGGCAGGCTGGAACTGACTCCCGATCAGTGGGGGTGTGGAGGAGGGTGTCTGCCATGTGGAATCAGAAGCCTTTCTCCTAGCTGGCAGGAGAGGTCCAGTAACTCACTTCTCTGTGCTTCTGGCTGGGTTTGAACTACCCTCGTGGCACGAGGCAGAATAAACAGCTGTGCGGACAGCCCCTGCTACTGGGGTCTCAACAGTAAGAGCAGCCGTTGCCAGGTTTAAAAAAATCCCTGAAAAGAAAACCATCTATGCGGTGGGTCGCACTCAGGGCTGGTCTACACTGGGGGCGGATCGATCTAAGATATGCAACTTCAGCTACGCTAGTCGCGTAGCTGAAGTCGAAGTATCTTAGTTCAACTTACCTGGCTGTCCTCACGGCGGCGAGTCAACCGCTGTCGCTCCCCCGTCGACTCCGCTTACTCCTCCTGCCGAGATGGAGTACGGGTGTCGGTTCGGGGATCGATTTATCGCGTCTAGACGAGACACGATAAATTGATCCCCGATAGATCGATTACTACCCGCCGGATCAGCGGGTAGTGTAGACGTGGCCTCAGTTAACACCAATTTTTAAACTGATTTTAGCTAAACCACTTCAAACCCCCATGTGGATACCTTGGTTTCAATTTAAGAGCGTTTCCCAATGTTTGTTTTATTTAAAATGTAAATACATTGAAATCGGAGTGTCCTTTTGAGTGTCCGATTTTAACAGAATTTGGTTTAAAATAACCCCCGAAATGCACCTTTCTCACCAGTCGCTAAAGACTGCCTCTAGGGGGGGTCCCCATCTCAGACTAGAGTTTTAAAAACAGACATTCCTAATTTGTGTAACTCGCGTGGCTGAATTGGCTCATTGTTTGTTGTCTAGTGTTATGGGGGTGGAAAAATGCATCCTCCAGAGATTGTGGCAGTGATTGTTGTTGTATAGAAGGGGGCTGAGTGACTCCTCCAGCTCGGGTTGGCATTGTCAGAGCCGCCACCCTCGGCCGATGACCCGTGTGCACAATAGGCTTGACGTAGCCCAGCCGCAAGTGTTCGGCCTTGCGTAATCACCTCGTCGGCAGCGTCTGGGGGAAGCGTGCCCAGCGCTGTCTGTTTTTCAGGCCTGTCAACCTGGCACCTTGCCCCAGAACTAAATCCTCGTGCACCATCGTTATTTTTCTTGAGCCGAATCTAATTGCACGTAGTTCGTCCCAGGCCCGTGTGAGCACCAGTCATGCTGCCCTCAAAGGGCAGAGGGAAGGGGTGGCCTAGTGGTTAGGGTGCTGCACTGGGACTTGGGGGTTCTAGGTTCAAATCCCAGCTCTGCCTCTCACTGCTTGTGTGAGCGGGGGCTAGGTGCTTCATCTCTCTGGATCTCAGTTTCTCTATTCAGCCTGTGAGCTCTCTGGGGCATGGGCTGTCTGTGTAGCGCCCAGCACCACAGGGGACCCTAGCCTCAATAAGGGCTTCTGGGGGCCACCATAAGGTAAACAGTCAGAGATCCCCTGCATGTCTGGACAGAGCTCAGCGGCTGCTCTGCTCAATGTGGTTTCAGGGAGAAGAACGTCATGGTGTCCTCGAACCGCAAACTGGAAAGGAAAGTGAAGGAGCTGACGATCCAGATCGACGACGAAAGACAGCATGTGAATGATCAGAAGGACCAGGTGTGTAGATGACATTCTGCTGTCTTTCCTCCCCTGTTACCTCACACACTCTTGGAGCTACTCTGGGGCATCACTCTCATTCCTCTGTTCTTTTCTTCCAATTTTTATCCTCCAATTTTTATTCGTTTAAATGGCTTCCACAGCCTCGGGCACTTGCTTGGCAGACAAATGGAGAAACCTCAGCCAAGTTGGCTCTGTGCAGCCCGAGAGCTGAGGGGGTGGAGAGAGAGAGAGACCCCGCCCCTTTACACAGCTGATCCCAGGCTGCTGGATAGCACAGACCCTAGAGAACATCCGGGGTGTGTGGGTGGGGGTGTGTGTGGGTGTGTACACGCATGCATGTTTGCACGTGCGCTTTCAGACAGTGATTTGGCTCCAATTCAGGGCTGACCTCTCCTACTAGCCAATTCAAGCTGGGTACCAATGGAAACCGTGGGCCAGACCCACAGATCTGGTCTTGGCTCATCTCCCACCCATCTCCTCTCTGCTCCTTCACGCAGCACGTTTCTCCTCTTGGTGCAAGAGCAATCCCTGTTCCAACTGCAGCCACCCCATTCTCTCTGCCTTATCGACCCCTCCCCCCACTCCCTATCCTGATTACAGCCAAATATTTCTGTGTGTCTGCCTCTCGTGTCCTTTTACGGCGTGGTGGGGGCAGGGTTTGGGGGGAAGACCCCATGCAGAATAGTCTTGTAGAAGCATTTTGAGAATCTGCCAGCCCCATCTCACAAGCCACCACCTGGTCTCTGTTGTTGCTCCGTCTTGCCTAATTACGGCTACTCTGCCATCGTATCTCCCGAAGCCTGCGCTTCGTTGGCCTACTTGACCTGCTCTCTGTGTTGGGAGCATATCCTTTGGGTTCTACTGACCGCGCATGAGGGAACAAAAAGCAGAACCAACCCCAACTAAATCATCTGAGCCAGGGCTTTGTCAAGCCAGCCCTTAAAAACCTCTGAGGATGGAGATTCCACCACCTCCCTAGGTAACCCATTCC